ACTTTACATGAACGTCATCAATGTAAATGTAAAAAAAATGGTAAGAAGACACACATTGTGAAAAAAATAAATAGTCTCTAAGATTTTAATCTTGATTTTAAAGGACTTGAGTATATTTGTCGGTAAGAAATTTATACTTCTAGTCACGTATCCAGAATCTACTTAATGTTTATTCTTTGGTGATTGCGTGTACAATATCTACCTAAACATATCTGTTTAAAATCTATTACGTAATACAGAATTTGAATCTTTTGTCGGCAACATTTAGTTGTATATTTGTCTAGATTCGTAAAGAGATATGGAAGATGTTTTTTTATAAAGATTAGATATGTTAAAGTTTGTGAGTTCGTGTTTGGAATAGAAAATGAAGTTTATCATACCTTGGGGTCTCGCCAAGGTCATGGTGACCAGGGCAATCAGCAGGAGAACAATCTGGGAACAAACCATGAAAATATTATGAGTTCAGTAATTAAACAACACATTCTTGTTTAAAAAAATGCAATGAACAGTAATGCCATTTCAATTTATGCCGCAGAAATAATATTCATCAAAATTTCTTTGATGCAGGTACAAATTCAGTCTTCAGGATAAAGCGAAAACATGGCAAAAATTTTAAATTATAGTGATCATCAAAAAAGTTTACATAACATTTAGCACAAAGAAGGTCATAAGAACAGCACTTTTTTATATTTTAGTCATACATATTATTATTTTTTTCTTTAAATAGGTTAAGGTTAAAGAATTTAAGTTTAATTATAGTTTAAATTTTTTAATTTCATAAGAGTAAATAAATTAAAGTTTTTTTTAAGATTACACTTCTAATAAATAATTTAAACCACTATAATTGAAATACGCACCGTGAACTTGCTCATGTTTATTTTTCTCTTAACTCTTGACTTTGTAAGACAAAACTGCCTACCAGAATATATTTAAGATCTTTTTATATGCGGACAATACAAATATTGATGTTTTAAGAACACATACCGATAACCCTTGACCAGACGCTCTTGGAAACCAAAAATATCTAAAAACAATAGATAGTGATTTCCTAAAAAAAAATACTTTTTTCGTTGGTCAATAAACTGACACAAGAAGATTTACAAGATTTAAACAACATATGCACAAACTGCAATAATGTTTTAGTCGTATATTTTTTTTTATTTCTAGCGGCATTCCTTAATTTGCATGTGACTGAATTATCGATATATTTTTTTATATTTTTGGAAATTTTTCAATGTTCTAAGGAATGTTTCCAGTCTTACCTATATAAAAAACAAGATAATACACTTTCAATTATGTTCTTATCGACCATGAACCCAACGACCTGTCAGTACACTATAAATTGGTCAATGATCGTAGGTTGTTGCTTGATAAACAATTTAAGTCCACGTGATTTCCGTATTCGATTATCGATCGAACGAACAAACATTAGATCCTTACATAAAGTTATACTAATTACTACAAATAATTAACTTTGGTATTATGTTAATATTATCCTTGCTAGTCCTGAAACCCAACCTCTTTTGTTGCCAAAAATCTAGACTCCTTTTGGTCATTATTTTTAAAAAATCAATGAGGAACATGAATAAACTTATGTCGAACCTATACCTTTAGCCAAACGCCACTTTAGCGCTTGTCTACAGAGAGAGTAGAAAACTAAATGTATGGGGATGACACTGAAAAGTGTCAAAATTTACGTCAGTCCCATATGATTTGGTTTTCTATTCTACATGTAGACAAGCGCTAAATGGCATTTGGCTACAGCTGCTGGTTACAATTCAGAGCTCACACTGTGGGAAAGATCAGAAATAGAAATATTTTGTGCTAACAATTGCTTTCATAACTACTTATTATTATTGTAGAATGTTTTTAGAGCACTTGTGAAATAATATTATAAAGCAGTGACTAGTTTTTTTAGAACCCAAATTAATTAACCATCACTTGTAAATATTGACTGCCTCGTTGGCCGAGGGGTGGCAAGTGCGACTGTCGGGTCACGGGTTCGATTCCCGGGTCGGGCTATTTCGCTTGTCGGGTATTACTGTTTTTTTAATTCTCAGTAATAGCATAAAGTCTGGAATTGTGCTCGATATATGGCAATAGGCTCACTCCCTATTACATAGGACTAGGACACATAACATAAATGGTGAAAAGTGTGTTACATAGTACGGCATTAAGTGCCGTAATGTGCAACTCTGATTCGGAGTCGCGGAGAACCTAACGGGTAACCGGGGCTCCGGCTCGACGTGCAGGAGAAGGAACGGGGTGATTTTTAGTCAGTAAGAGTCTGACACTCCCTTCCGCCTCACCCAGGCGGGAGCAGTCATTCGATGATTTTCCCCCCTTAAAAAAAAAATGTGCATATCTGCCTACCCTTTCGGGGATAAAAAGCGAGATGTTATGTTATGTGAATTATAAATATTTACCAACGTATTACCGACTTTGATAAAATATTTAGCATTACATTAACCTTTGATACTGAACGATACATCGGACTTTATCTCGCGATCCCGTGCGTTAACTAAGAACTAATTGTGTGTAGGTAGACTTGAAGACACCAGCACATCAAGCTATCCTATACTGGCAAATCAACTTTCAACTTTATCATATAACAATTGAGTTAGAAATTAATTGAAGCAGTTTGATAATTTGGGATAGCTTATTCTGCAGGCGCCTACACAATCTCAGGTCAAATAATATCACAACCATTCTTTGTAATAGATGGCTGTAAATAAAAATATAAAGATAATAATAAATTATATTTTTAAATGATAATAAAGTTATTGTTGGTCCGATTCTAATTTTATATCCTCTTTCAAAGAAGTTCTGTTATTTTATCGTAGCTTTACACAGAAATATCAAATAACTATGAAAATAAAATAGGAGTCGTAAAAATGGTAAATAATCACAGTAATGACTATAAGAATGTAGGTATACCGTACAAAAACATAACGGTTATGCCTTTCAGACGGTAGCTAAAGGTTTTTGCATTTTATGGGATAGGAGGCGCCAGCCAGTGACGATATCCGTAAAGTGGCCGGCAGTGGTTGAATGAGAAGAGCTTGGTCTTCAGCACTCATGGCACGCCATTGGAAAGGCCTATGTCCAGTAGTGAATTACTTGATTGCCTAGATGTTGACATCTGATGATGATGAGATAGGACAACATGTAGATTGAATGGATGATAAACAATCAATGCCATTTGTGGACATTTACAACATAGAATTTAATGGCATATTGTTGCCTGCTTATGTTATACTTTTTTACTTATCACTATCTTTTTTCGTCGGTTATGTTCTGAGGTATAAAATCTAATAATAGGTACCTAAAACCTCGACTGTTTCTTTGTTTTAGTAATTGCAAGACAATCTGCCAAGGGAAGAGTGATCAAAATCCAGGTTGAGATGTCTTAATGCTAAGTTTATATAACACGTTACAAAGTACAAAATGACGCCCCAATATTTTGGTACAACAAATAAAAAATGATTGTGATTGTTACATTTATTAGGTATTTATTAGGAGTTATTGTGTTAATCCAAGGTGTTCAATTTCCAAGGAAAAGGCGGGACGCGTGCAGGAATTTTCATCACGCCCCAGCTGTCGCGGGAGACTCCGGGCGTCGGAGATCGCCCGACGATCTCCGGCCACCGTAAGTGTGGGTCTGCGGACTTCGAGCAAGGGTAGCTCGCCGCTCCGCGCGTGCCTTAAAGAGCCATCAGAACACCACAGATAGGGCCCAGCAGGGCTGATGTTTGAGGAAGGCCTAATGGGTTGCCGGGGCTCCGGCTCGAAGAGTAGGAGTAGGAACGGGGTGGTTTTTAGTCAGTAAAAGTCTGAAATTCCCTCTCGCCTACCACACGGCGGGATAAGCCATTCAATGATTTTCCCCCTCAAAAAAGGTGGTTCAATTTCGACACACTTTGCCGATTACGTATTAAGTCAGGTTATCTACAGCTAAAATGTAGGCTAACTTAAAGTGCAAATATCGCACTTTGTGTGGCTAATATGTGAGATCGTATTACCTCAGTTTGTTATGCCAACAATACTGCATCAACCTTAGCGCATCAGAAGGCCAAGTTATAGCCAAATACGCTGTTTACTATATCCTGTGTTAACTAATGATCTATGCTTATATGTACTAGGTTTGACAAGATTTACAAAATACTAGGTACCTTCTACGGTTTCACCTGCCAAAAGGTTATTTTATTGAAGCTCTCGTTATTTCCTGTTTTTATTTTTTTTATGGTATGAGCCGGTACACAAGTCCACAAATCACCTGTTGGTAAGCAATAGCCGCCACCCATGGACACCCGAAACCGAGGCATTAAAAGTGCGTTACCGGCCTTTTGAGGTTTAGGAGTTTGGGAATTGTTGAGGATTGGGGATGTTTCTATAGCTCCGATTACCGATATAGATGTTCCCGGTAACCTCACTGATTGTATGAGTGTTTACTTTTCAAGTAATTAACATCTACTCAACACATTTCCGAATACTATGCATGCATGCATTTTATGGGATGAAGAGAGTGGCAAAGCCTTCTATGTAGAGGAGGACCATTCAGTAGTAGATTGTCTAGAGTTATAATATTGATGTAGGTAGATGCTGCATACATACATTTCATTTCAAAACTAACTCCTGGCCTCTGTTCAACTTGTCTACCAATGACACGCCATTTTAAAATTCGGCTTAGGATATATTAAAATGAAGACAGAAGACTTAGGTACATAGCAAGATAGTTACATTGCGTAATAACAGTAATAAACCAGGCAGGTTTCAATTTTGACTTATTTGTAATTAGATACACTAAATAATTTACCACAAATTATTCGCAATTTGTGCTTATAGCTACCTATTTCCAAGCCATCAAAAAAAGATTTCTGGAAACTTGAACCACATCTAATGACATGATAATTGGTACATTAATAAATTAGATTCCTAGTCAAATCAATTGTTGATGGTTACCGACACGGATGCCAGTTGTTAGACCACATCATTATCACGTTTATGAGAATGGTGCACGGCGACAATATTCTTAAATGGAAGTTTACACGTTTCATTGTCGTCGCTGCGTTTACATTCGACCGCGTCAGCGACTTTGATACTCTTAACTATTTTGTTTACTCACACTTGTTAGGACTTCTTTGGTAAAATCCTAATATATATAGACTGTCTTGTAGTAAATTGGCACATTCCTCTCAAGTGCTAGGAAGGGATATCTGAAAATGTAAGTGTTTTGTACTATTTTTCTATTTTATAAAGTGTTTTATTATTTCCTGTTTGTTATTTAATGGTGAACATGGTGCAGTGTATTTAAATTGAGTTTCCTCTTTATTTTTGTTTTTTTGTTGTTCAAATGTGACTATCGAGAGTGGTGTTTAGATATCTTTGTATTTTATGGTGCGATACAAAAAATTTTTGTTTGTTGTCAGAACATTGACGAATTGTAAAACCATGAAAGAATGTATTTTTTGAATATAAAGGTCCGACGTTTGGTCACTATCTCGCCTGGTGGTAAGCGATACGATGAAGTATGTCTGCTCATAAGCAACCTATTCACTCAGGCCTAGAAGTACCTATATGTAAAACAAAATAATCACAACATCTTTACCGTTTCCAGCTAAACATGAAGAGCATCCTAGTTCTGTGCTTGTTGGTCGCGGCTGTCTCCTGTAGACCAGAGAGTTACGACACTAGATTTGACAACTTTGATGTCGAAGCTTTGGTCGGCAACGTTCGACTGCTGACTGCGTACGGCCACTGCTTCCTTGGCAACGGACCCTGCACTCCAGAGGGAAGTGCCTTTAAAAGTAAGTTGACACTTTTACTATTCTTGCAGCTAGTAGGCATTATTTTCAATGTTTGTTAAATTGAGATAAGTCAGTTAATTCTGTTAGTCTTTTGAATATCCGAGTGTCTTATCAATATCAAGCTAAAAAGCATTCATGTGAACAGAGTTTAATCTCTCATTATTATTTAAATCAGTCGTCTCCGTTTCTCCGTCTTACTTATCTCCAGATCTATAAATATGAAGATAGACATCCTAATCAACCACCCATGACTGACCAGTACTTGGCTTTTTCTACATTATAAGATTGCTGTAAATCTTCGGTTTGGTAGGCAGGTTGATCAACTACAATAAATATTTCTTTCAACATTTTACATACAAGCATAACCTCACGCCTATCTCCCCTGGAGGTAGACATGGACGCCAATAACATTAATCACCCTATAGAACTTTACTAGGTACTACATTTAACGTTATTTGCAGAAACCATCCCCGACGCTCTTAGGACCGGCTGTGGCAAATGCTCACCGAAACAGCGTCACTTGATCCGTGTCGTTGTACAAGGATTCCAAAACAAGACCCCAGGCCTTTGGCAGGACCTGGTCCATAAGCAGGACCCCAACGGACAGTACAAAGAAATCTTCACCAGGTTCTTGAACGGCAGAGACTAAAATACCAAAGATTTGAAAAGCAAGGAGGTTCTACCATTAACGATACTCATAAACCAAAATAACACCTGAGTTTTGATTGAGTACATGAAAATAGATGTAAGTTTGAAAAATTAGACGACAGTTCTTGTTTAATACTTTTTAGTAGACAATCGTTATTATAAAAATATATGTTGTTATTTAAAGATTTATCTTTAACCTCAGATAAATATTGTTCACTTGGCGTTGCGTGTGTGACAAATTAACAACTCTGTGCTTGCTTACGTTCGATTTGATATTTTCATACACATACATAATGTATTCACAATCTACATTTCAAGGCATAGATATAATAATAATATATCTATGTTTCAAAGAAATGGCTTTAACATCAACGTATCGTGTACTGGTGCCTCCTTTTTGTTAAACATCACATTAATTGTTAACTAATATTTAATTTATATTTATCTATAGGTACTGTATTTATTTTTTAAATAAATGAATAACCTTTAACGTGTTCTTTTTATTACAACCATGTTCTTAAGTCGTGATGTTATTAGAGCAGAATATCCTTGTTTGTTTGTGGTAAACATTGTACAATGGCATAATGTACATCTCTGCTTACCCCTTCGGGTATAAAAGGCGTGATGTTATGTAATGTAGAATATCCTTGCCACATCTTTAATCTTCACGCGGGCAACGATCTCTGTTTAACCAAAACTTTTTAAATTGTGATCTCTAATGGAGTCCAAGTCAAACATGGAGATTATTATGGCAATATTTTTTTGTAGGGGAAGCCCATAGTATCATCGATATCCACGACCTGTTATACTCTTTCTAATATGTTATACTTAGTAATAAATATATGAAATTAAGCGCCTATTTCAAGTAACATTGCATTTAGTATTTGAATTCATTGCTTTAGTTTGCATGTTAGGTTCTTATCGCTCGGCATAACCTTATTAACCTTATTAATAAAAAAATATAAATTCATAGTCCTTACCTAATTAGGTACTATGAGTAGTCTGATGATATAGTTGCACTAAACAAAACAAATGTTAAGGGAGGGAAATTATTCAATGACTTCGCCCACCTTGGGTGAGGCGAGAGGGAGTGTCAGGCTCTTACTGACTAAAAACCACCCCTTTTCCCACTCCTGCTTTGAACCGAAGCCCCGGTAACCCATTTGCTATTCTAGAGTTCCGAACAACCGGCAAATTTCTTTAATTATACTGCTCTGCGAAAATATACAATACTTAGTAATATGAATGAAACTCACAGATACACCACACATTGCTCAATATAATTTTCAAGGCGTCCTAATAAAATATCTATGAATAAATAATAAATAATTTTAGCAGTTTGTATCAGCCAACTCGGCACCGAAATCTGTTAGATACCTATATTTTTTATATGTATATATTTATAGTGTCTTGTTTACGATAGACAAATATGTAGTGTGACTGGTAGACAACCTTGCACTAATAATAAAAATTAAATGTTTGAATTCTAATAACTAGACTATCAATCGTTAGACCATTTTGGTTTTAGTCTGCATCAATCCAGTTCGGGACGCGTCCTCTTCAATGTAAGTACTCTTTTATTTTATTTTCTTTTATTTATTCGCTTGTTTTCCTGTCCATCTTATTTTTTCTGAATCCATTATAAGTAACTGATCACTAAATTTATAAAACAGTTTAAAAACTTCGAACTTTCTTTCGGAGTGGGTCTTTAGATTGTAGAATTGGCTGTAGAAATTGCCACTTTCTGAAAGAGGGATCATAAAAGCTTAATTATCCTATCCTCAAATTAACGAGGTATTTCTGTATTTAATTTGCTATGGAGATTTATTGATCGTCATTTATTATTTGAAAAGACCTGACCATGTTCTGTGTTTAAAAATAGTAATGACTTTTGCCTACAATAAAAATATGTGTTGCAGTTACTTACATATATGTGGGTGATCATAGTATTTTTGCGTTTGAGCCTCCAGCAAATCTTTGATTTAAAATGTTCCGTGCTAATAACGTTTTATTAATTTTAGTACCATTTGGCATTTAGTTGGTAAAAAATTTGATTGAATTTTAGCTAAACATGTTAACTTACTTGTGTCAACGGTTTCGCCCGGGTTTACGTGGGATAAAGAGGCCCATGTGTTATTCTAGTCCATAATCTAAGTACCTCTGTTCTCTCTGATCTGATCTTCAGCCGTCTTGTTCATCTGAGTAAACGAAAGAGTAGTACTCATATATATCCTCACAAATTTTCACATTTTGAATGTTAGTAGGATAGGCTTCTAGGGTGGTCCATCCCTTGAACCTTCGGAGCCGCGGAAGACTTAACGGGTTGCCGGGGCTCCGGCTCGAAGTGCAGGAGTAGGAACGGGGTGGTTTTTAGTCAGTAAAAGTCTGACGCTACCTCTCACCTCACCCGGGCTGGAGGAATAACTGGATGACTTTCCCCCTCAAAATAAAAAAAAATCGCTTGAACCTTGAGCCTTGCATGTATTAGGGACTGCGTTTCTATGCATAAACTTAAGTTATAAATAATACTTTTAGTAGGTAACTTAATAACACCTACTATATAACTTAACAGTAGATATTTGGTACACAACAACTGACCTTGATTTTAAATGCACACCTGGTTTTATTTAAATACCTAATTAATTCTGATCTCATCTGATATTCGATTTCACCATCTGGCTGCACTTTACAAAAATGAATTTATTATGTGTCATTTGTATTGTATATATTTATGTGTCATTTATATTAATTTTGGTTTGTAGACGTTGAATTAATAGATATGTTTTTACGATAAGCAACTAATATATTTCGAATGCCTACTAGAAATATCTTAGCACGCTAAAAAAATTTACTTATACAATGAATGTATTAACGCAATATTCAGGCGAGTCTAATTTTAACTACTATAGCAACTAAAAAACTTCCCCAATTTCGCCAATCCCCAATAATCCTTAGGTCGGCAAAGTACTTTTAACGCTTCTGTTGTTTTGGGCGACGCCGATTGCTCACCATCAAGTGATCTCTCTACTCGTTTACCCGCTTATTGGGATAAGCCGGTAATCCGGGTATTAGTAAGCCGAGTATTTGTATGGGTACAAAAATATATATTTTTAGAACTTTGAACTTATTATCACGACTTCTCTCATTCGAACTTACAATCCACTTCTGAATAACTTAATGTAACACCTCTGATCTATTTTTTCAGACAAGCGAAATGAAGTACATATTAGTGGCTCTCGTTGTAACCATAGCGGTGGTAAAGGCTCAAGAAACGTATGGGACCGAATATGATAATGTAAATGGAGAAGCTATCGTTTCTGATGACAAACAGTTCCAAGGCTTCGTCGACTGTTTCACGGGCGCTGCTCCTTGCAACGAGCCTGCTGCTGCTTTCAAAAGTAAGTCTAACTAAGTATTTAAGTAGAAACTTTTAGACACCGAGGGAAAATTATGAAAAATAAACAATAGTCATAGTAGGCTGCGCGACATCGCCGCGGCCGCGCACGCTGCTCATGAGGAAGAACCCCTCTGTGGTTCGAAACTAGTAGAGCTTTTCTCAGTATATTCACGTGAGTTTTTTAGTTAATAGACAAATGGAGTTATAATTTTGAAATCGCCATTCTGCCTTGAGCAAGCGTGGTAACTAATGCTTATACCACCTTCTTCATGTGACAAGAGGTCTTCCCGTGGTGGGCACTTATAGGCTGATGATGGTGATGATGAAGACGATGACCTACTACGTTTTTTAAGTGTTTTGTACAGTGAATTTGTACTAGTAGCTTGATCATTATAATTGTGATTGTATAATTTAATAATAATTAATATTATTATACTTGTGTTTTAGGTTAAAACCTCACCCATTTCTGGGGACTACACCAAAGTTCGGTCTTTTGGTCAAAGCAACTTTGGGGATGAGACTTTGATAAGAACTTTCGAACTATTTGTAATTGCATGTGTTGAGCATGACAGGTCTCTGTAGGAGAGTATATGTGAGGGGATGTAAATCTAGATCCTTTAAACTTGTGTGTAGTGTTTTGGGGATGACGCCTGTGCTAGATATTATAACGGGAACGCTCTTCACCGTGTAGACTTACCTACCACTGAGTTTCAAGCTCAATGGTTAAGTCTGAATATTTAGAGAGTTTGTCAGTGTGAGTGGAACTAATTATTATTTTTATATTTTCCACAGGGGTCTTACCTGAAGCGATTGTACAGGCTTGTGGCAAATGTAATCCAGCACAGAAGCACTTAGTAAGGCTTTTCTTAGAAGCCTACTCGAAGAAAAGCCCACAAGAGTATGAAAAGTTCAAAGATTTATTTGATCCTGAAAGGAAATACTTTCCCAAATTCGAAGCATCCGTTGCCGGGTTTTAAACTACGAGATAATTGAAAAATATTATTATAAATGATTTAGTTTTAATTGCTTACTTACTATTAAAAACTTTTACGTTTGACACAATGTGTATTTTATTTATTACCTAAAATAAAAAGAAGCGATATTTATGGACTTGGTACGTATAAAGGCATTTATGAGCCAATAAAATACTAATTGTATAGTGGCATTAAGTACCGTAATGTGCACCTCTGCCTACACCTTCGGGGATAATAGGCGTGATGTTATGTTTTGTAAAATATACCTCATTTATGGAATATGATCGTATGTTTTTTATTATACCCTATTACATGGGACTCATAACATATATAGTGGGTAAAAGTGGGTGTTATACTTCTATGTGCACCTCTGCCTACCTCTTCGGGGATAAAAGGCGTGATGTTATATTATGTTATGATCGTCTGTCAGGATTTCTCACTTCTCGGAAAGCATTTGAACGATAATTTATAGAAAAAACATAACATCAAGCCTTTTAGCCCCGAAGAGGTAGGCAGAGGTGCACATTACGGCATTTAACTCTGTACAATGTAAAACCCACTTTTCACTATTTATGTTATGAGTCCCATCGAATAGGGGGTGAGTCTATTGCCTTACACCGGGCACATTTACAGACTCCGTGCTACTCCTGAGAATTTTAATAAAATCCAATACTGCCCGACCCCGGAATCAATACCGAGATCCCATGTCCGTTAGTCGTACTTGCGACCACTCGGCCAACGAACCAGTCAAGTGGATTTTTAAAGGGATTTTTTCTGTAATTTATAAAAAAATACAGGACAAATCCATTATCCGTATATTTATCACAGAGACGAACAAATAAATAAAAATAAAGTGAACATAAACTAGACCGGGCTAGGACTAGACTTAATTAATTATTATATCTACCAGACAACCTTGCACTTAATAAATTATTCTACGACTTTCAATCACAAATTATCACAAATATCAGAATCTCTGATTTGATGACGATCCAGTTTGATACGAGTAGCTATCGAGTTGGTTTGCTTTCGTGTTTACTCATTTACCAATAGAGGTGATCTATTAACTCGTCGACTACCGGTTTTATAGACACAATTAAAGAACAATAGGTCGCGGTCACCGGTGACCGCTTGGTGTTTGACAGTTTAAAGGTAAGTAACAATAAAATTTGTATTGTTTTATTTTGTGTAATTCAACCTCATTTTTATCCAGTAATGTTTTAAACGAAAACTGTAGGTAATTTATTATACACCAGGGCTATTTTCCACTGCCTGGACATAGACTGACACTGCATTAAAGAATTTTAAAATCAAAATTATCGATATTGTTATTCTTGTCATTCATGCAAGATTTCTAGCTATCGAGCTAGCGGATTAAATCTGTCGCGGAGAACCTAACGGGTTACCGGGGCTCCGGCTCGACGTGCAGGAGAAGAAACGGGGTGGTTTATAGTCAGTAAGAGTCTGACACTCCTTCCCGCCTCACCCAGGCGGGAGCAGTCATTAGATGATTTTCCCCCCTTTAAAAAAAAGCTGATTAAATCTCGGATGATAATGAATGAAGAAAATTGTCATTGATATGACATATTTTCAAAAATATCAATACTACTTCGCCCACACATTTGTTAAATGATTACATGCAATTATTCGCCCAACTATGGCATTCTTTACGTGCAGTTACATTGAAATAGACAATAATGCGGCATAAAGGTTAATTGCAAAAAGGTTTCCGGCGGCGACGCGCCATGCTGCTACACCCTGTATGATTACATCATCATGAACACTAATTGATAACGATACGTAAAGTCTTATTAACCCGAACTAATGTATAAAAGTGAATAAAATGTGTTTGTTCGTTTGTTTATCTTTCTCTGAAAAGAGGGATGGTAGGGTAATGAGGATGGAAAGTGAACTTCAGCAAGAACTATTTATGACTATTGATTTATTAAATGAACATTTTGAGAATAAATAAAAAGAGAGTTTTGTCACATTTATGTTCAAATATTCAAACGCAATTCAGTTTTTAAGACGCGCTCAAGTTTATACTTATGAAGAAGAAGTTACAGAACTATTTCTGTTGCTATAAATTCTTCGTACAATGACAGAGATAGCATGATATTTAAGTACTACTTAAAATTGATTAGCCTTTTAGTATTCGGGTGTCAGTAGCAGACAGCCAGTGTTGACATTTAACAGATCTTCGCAAGTGATGGGGATGTGACTCAACGCATCTATCATGCAATATGCCAAGGCGATGCAGTTGACGGAATAAACACGATAAAATAAAGCAGCGTCTGTAGATTTTATGCGCTAAAATCTTCTTAGTTTCGGTTATATTCTTATAACCATTTGATAAAGACTTCGATACAGTAAAAGTTTTAACTATAGAAGTAAGTCAGATACATTCTAGTTCTTTCTAAGCTCAATTAACACTAAATATAGATATTTAGTTTTATTGTATCTTACGTAGACATAATACCCCAGTATGCCACTATCTTTCTCAATCTTGTTTGAATGTCCGTTGACGTCGTCGTATCGATGTATGTGAGGTATTCTTGTTGGGCATTATTGACAGTCATTAAGTAAAAGACTTGTCCTCTTAATTTTGCACGGCTGTAAGAGACGCGCTGGACAGAAATCGCTAGAAGCAGATCATTCGCTCCAGATGCAATCATGATGCTGACCTCAGACATGAGGGGACGACTAAAGCGAGAAAGAAATTATTGACGCAATATAATTATTTAACCACTCTTACTAGATAAGCTATGGGTTCCAAAGAGAAAGAGGGCTTGGTGTAAATTTGGCAAATTTAAAGAAGATAGGAAGAAATTTTATAAATAGAAAAAGGATAACCAAAACAAAACAACTGATATTCAATCAGAAAAAATAATTAACTTTTAAAAAAAAATAAAACCGACTTCAAATGCGAGAACACAAAAAAAAACTAAAAATTAAAAAATAATTCCTAATACCTATTACCTAATACTATAATTTTTCTAAACTATATCAAAGTAATTAAAGTTAAACCATCTAAATATCTTAAAATAGTTATACTTATATACCTACCTATTGTTTTTTGGAGTCGGTGCCAGTAATAAATGAATATTAAACCTAATGAAATAAGAAAAAGTACTCAATGAAACAAAACGGAGGCGGGCAGACGCTTGAGGGCAGACTACGTTGACGCTCGTATCAAAAATACTGAATTTTCGGATGCGCAATATTTCAAATTATTGCTTTCTTTTTTGTTTGTTGTATTCTATTGTAGGATTTGTAGGTATTTGTTATTCTTTGTTGGTATAGGTTTAGTTGTACCAGGCTACATACAACTTATTTCTTAATATTTTTGTTTCATTGAGTACTTTTTCTTATTTCATTAGGTTTAATATTCATTTATTACTGGCACCGACTCCAAAAAACAATAGGTAGGTATATAAGTATAACTATTTTAAGATATTTAGATGGTTTAACTTTAATTACTTTGATATAGTTTAGAAAAATTATAGTATTAGGTAATAGGTATTAGGAATTATTTTTTAATTTTTAGTTTCTTTTGTTTCTCGCATTTGAAGTCGGTTTTATTTTTTTAAAAAGTTAATTATTTTATTTTAAAATTTTTAGTGTTACTTTTTTGTAGATACCCTTAGTGCATTTAATATGGGTAGGCCTACTAAACGCGCAGCCTTAATGAGACAGCGCCGTTTGGAGGAAACAAAAGAAGAAAGGGAAGTGCGTTTAAAAGAAAGTAGAGAAAGAAATGCTAAAAATATATTAAAGGAGAGTGATGAGCAGCGGACTTCTAGACTTTCATAAAAAATTTCATCCCCAATTTTCCACCCTTGGGGGTTGAAATATTTTCTTCAAATTCGCATGAAACCATCCTTTTGATAATACCTATTCAACAAAAAAATAATAGTTCAAATTGGTTCATAATCGGCGGAGATATTGCGTATAAAAAAATCATCCCCCAATTTTCCACCCTTGGGGGTGAAATATTTTCTTCAAATTCGCATGAAACCACCCTTTTGATAATACCTATTCAATAAAAAAATAATCGTTCAAATTGGTTTAAAATCGGCAGAGTTATTGCGTATAAATAAATTCATCCCCTATTTTCCACCCTTGGGGGTTGTTATTTTTATTAGTAAATTTAAATGGGACCAACCTTGAGGTATCACCTATACGCCGAAAAAAGAATTTTTCAAATCGGTTCATAATTGGCGGAGTAATCGCGTAACAAATATAGAAAAAAAAAACATACGGGTCGAATTGAGAACCTCCTCCTTTTTTTGAAGTCGGTTGAAAACTATCCTTACCTTAGGAGGATAATAATAATATACGAGTAGGTATTATTAGCATGTTTAAAATTGACTGCAAGAAGTGATTTTTGCCCAGATAAAGATATCTTCAACAAATGATGTAATGGCGTTGTACAATGAAAAATGCATTTCTGCCTTTATTAGAATACTTAGGGTTAGGCTATATTTCACCAGGACACCATGGCGGCGCAACCAGCCTCGCTACTATGGTAGCCGGACTGGCTGCTGTGTGAGTAACACACCATACATTGCTATAGTAATTAGTGGTGGCGCGACCAGCGTGGGTAACCGACCAGTAACATTTTGTGCTGGCATTGGAACGGGTCGCACCGCCTGATTGATTGTACAACCAAGCAGACAGCAAATGAGTAACTTTCTATAGAGCTGCATAGATTTTGTTGGTGACTACTGGTGGCGCTACCATGGTGTCACGGTGCAATATAGCCTTTACAGTGTCACATAAATAAACAATTGATACACAATTGATTAACAAATCACGTCCTAATGCGATAGGTCACCTCAAAACTACGGCTATATAAAAAAATCTACATATTCGTAGGTAACTAGCTACGTCTACGATTTCCACGCGATTTTACCCGATGCTAGGCTTCTATTTGTTTGTTTTTAAAAAAACGTTGCGTACGTGCGTTTACAAACATACAAGTTCACATACACATTACATCCAGGCCCGGAACAACAATCTGTGAATCACACAAAGAGTTGTTCTGTGCGGGAATCGAACCCGCGACATGTTGCGCAGCAGCTGGTTGCCCAGCTACCGCGCTAAACGTGCATTCCTATCGATTATAGTGTGAATTTTTATAGCCTAAGTCACTCTTACATTCCTGTAATTACCTCTAGTTAAAAACAAGCATGCGAATTCGTCGATCTGTTTTGCCATGAAAGACGGACAAACAAACAGACACAAACATTTTCACATTTGTAACATTAGTATGGATTCTATGTTAGGTATTAGTATAGCTAATGATACTCACTTCACTTTACGGTATCAATATCTTTGTTTAGACATTAAACACTGATTAGTATTACAGTTATGAAAATGTTTGCTTATTATTGTTGAGATAATGATAAGAATTAATGCAATATTTTTGTATTAACATGTACTTCTTATTATTATTTCAGTCTCTGTGTAAAGGAGCAGTGGTTGTTCTTCAAAGTTGTTAACCTTTTCTTTCTTTCAACTCTTATTCTTATCTACTTTGGGTTTATACAGTATGTCTAATGGGGTTAATTTGGGGCATGTCGCCACAAATCCCAAAATTTTGGGGACTGAGGCATTCGATGCATCCAGCAGATTGAACCGGATGTGTGTGTTCATTGAATACTTAACAATCTATCTGTACATTATAATAAATTCGTAGGAAAGTCAAACCTGTACATTGAATATTCTGTAAAGAATACTCGAGGCATGATTTACAATCGATATCGAAGCCAAAATTATAGTTTTTAGAATTTTTGTCGGTTTGTCTATTTTTCTGTTTGTATGTCCGTGCTCAACTCAAAAAAGTACTGTATGGATTTATTTTAAATTTTGCATGAATATTATTAGCTGGTCCAGTCCACTATTCCAAGCTTACGAAGTCGTGGGCACAGCTAGTACATAATCGAACAGCACAGGATCGAATGAACTAAAAAAGTTAAGAGATCTTAAACATGTACAAACTGGGATCAAATTGTCAGATCTAAAAATAAGTCAAATTAGCTTTAGGTTTTTATTTGAATAGCATCAATGTTATAAAGTTATAATGTAACCAGTTTTTGCCAAATAATTATTGCTCTAAGTTAGCCAGGAACACGATTTGGGCTGGTCATTCACCTTTATGGCACGACATGAGAAGTCAATCGACCTTGCTTTAATCACCAATCTTATAACGCTCGTGTTTAATTAACATAACATAACATCATGCCTTTTTATCCTCGAAGGGGTAGGCAGAGGTGCACATTAGAGACACCTACATTTCAATATTAATGTTATGAGTCACATGTAATAGGGAGTGAGCCCATTGCCATATACTGGGCCATATACGATCCCAGACTCAATGGTACTATTGAGATTTTTTTAAAAGTCCAGTATACCTACTTTGCCTGACCCGGGAATAGAAACCGAAACTCCTTGTCTGGCAGTCGCACCACTCACAGTTGCGACCACTCGGCCAACGAGGCAGTCAACTAAGTTAATTTCTCTAAAACTACATTTAGATGTAGACTAAGTACTTAGTTCAGTGAAAACCTGTACATTTTTTGCAATGATTTTATGCGACATGCTATTGACAGACATGTATTCTATTGTAGGCATCGTCTTCACTGTTTTTGTGAATTAGATTATCATGTTATTTCTTTGAGAACAATACTGTTTTTTTTATCAATCCATCGAACGTGTGGGTAATACCTATGTACTAAGTATAAATAATAAAGGAACACTTAAGTATAAAAGGAACGTACCACTGCATATGAGCATTATTCGTCCACAACTCTTTATTCTTAAATAGGGTAAGTCGTTGCTTGCTGGTTTTATAAATAATATTTTATGTTTTACTTTTTGTAATTGTTCTGTGTATCTCTGTATCGCTATGTAAATAAAATCATTACCGTAACGTAATTATAAGCGCATTCCTCTTAGTTTTATTATTATTTTGTTTAAAATTTGGTTACTCGTTGGTTGAAGGTATTCATTGTTCTTTTATTCTATGTCTATTAATTAAGTATCGAGCAAAAACGAAATAGTTAATTAGCATAAAAATCTAAAAACAGTGCTCATCTGATGGTTGTTATTACCTTTGTGAACAAAAGAGGATTTTATGTCACGTATTATAGTAATTTTATCTTTTTATAATGAAATTGAATCTATTTCTTTGAAAAAAAAGACAATGCGCTGTCAAACAAGTTTCAAAACGTCTTTCTTGTCCCTGTCGCGTTTATCTTCAGAAGCATTATATAATAAACAAAATAATTTGATATTACAGAAAATCTATACTGACACGATGAAGTACATCTACGTGTTGTCTATTCTGCTGGTTTTTGCTACTGTCCAGGCTGATGAGAAGTACAGCTCGGAGAATGATGACCTGGACATCGACGCCGTGGTAGCTGATGTTGATGCCCTCAAAGGCTTCGTTGGGTGCTTCATGGACGCTGTGACTTGCCACGCTGTTGCTGCCGATTTCAAAAGTATGTATAACATTCATGTTCTGGTTTAGTTTTGGTTATTTGCAATCGACTTTTAAATAGTACTAATAGAATATGCAGGTTTTTTAAATGTCTATTAGCTATTATATAAATATTGCTCTACTATCAAACAATTTATTAAACATATATTTTAAATATTTATTAAGCGTGATTGTACCGTATTTACAAGTTAAATCAGATGAAAAGTGCTAAGCTATTTCATGAATTCAATAAACTTTCTTGTCAAGTATATCACATAGGTTCCTTATCACATAGTATGATATAATGTCCTTTAAGTCTCGCCTATGGAATGACCATAGTATTTTCTCTAATCAGAGGATTTGAGCATATACCGTCCGAATTATAAGTTACAAATCTTTATATAAAATAGGTTGAATAAAAACAGCAGCTATATCTCTCTAATCTTTCTACGATATTTACTTTTAACTTTGCCAGTCAAGTTTAAAATGAATTATATTCAGTACATTGTGATGCTATCAGAGCCCAGGTGGATGCAGCTAATCATTTACATGATAATCTTAGTCACTGCTTACGACAGGCCCCGGTTTATAACTGGTTCTTCTTGTTATCTCATAGTATTGCAGAAAACATTACACATGTGCCCCAACTTGAGCTCAATTTTGAAATGCGCAAAAATCTGCAAGTTGTTATGATGTGTGGAGTAATAGTAGTGGTATAATATGTATAGGTACTTACACATACTGGTATAACAACTGGCTTCGGCCCGCGACTTCGCCCGCGTGCCCGTGGGATAAAAAGTGGCTTATGTTGATTCATAACATCACGCCTTTTATACCCGAAGGGGTAGGCAGAGGTGCACATTATACAATGTAACATCCACATTTCACTATTTATGTTTTAAGTCCCATATTAAAGGGGGTGAGTCTATTGCCATATATCGGGCACAATTCCAGACCAGATTCTACCATGTAATATGGGGTGAGCCTATTGCCATATACTGAGCACAATTCCAGACTCCGTGCTACTACTGAGAATTTTTGAAAAACCTAGTATTAATTTGCCCGACCTGGAAATCGAACCCGATACCCCTTGCCCGGCAGTCGCACTTGCGACCACTCGGCCAACAGGGCAGTCATACATATTCCATACATACATTATACCAGACATAATCTACCCTTGTTCCAAACGGTTAACCGGGGCTCCGGCTCGACGTGCAGGAGAAGGAACGGGGTGGTTTTTAGTCAGTAAGAGTCTGACACTCCCTCCCGCTTCACCCAGGCGGGAACAGACACTCGATGATTTTCTCCCTTAAAAAAAACTCTGTTCCAAACATCTAAATCAGATCGGTAGCATTTGCGTCAAATAGAAAGAGAGAACAAACGCACACATCGTCACAAACTTTCGTATTTATAATATTTGTAGGATTACTAAGATAAATGGGAAAGTGTATGTGTCTGTTTGTTTGTCCGTCACGGCAAAACGGTCCGACAAATCGAAGTAAATTTCTTAAGAAGAAATTGTTGAGGGTTTGGAGAATAACATAGGCAATAAGACATCACGCTGCGATCAATAAACGCCGAGCAGCGGGTGAAACCGTGGGGTAGTAGTAAGTGTTTTATATTGCAGTACGCATGACGAGTATTATAATTATTATAAATATTACTATTTACACTGATAACCTAGTCATTGAACTTTAAATTGTTTCTTTGTTGCATAAATCGCCTCTGATAATGGAAAGTTATTGAAGAGTTGTTTTTTTTTTATTAAAATGAGGTTACTTATTTTGTTTATATTATAAGTTATTTTTATGTTTTGTTGGCTGCCTGTGACATACATATATATATCAGGTTGTTAATATATACTCGAGACGGTGGCGCGCGTTGTGTCCAAGCGCGCCTCCGAGACGTTGCACGGAGAAGACCAACACCTCATTTCTCCGTGCATCTTGAGGTGGGGCCTGGCAAGGCAGGCCGCCACGAGTTCGGGGGCTGCGGATGAATGTGACTCCCGCACCCTCGTACCCACGTGTGAGACGGGACACTGGGGTGGGTTTTAGTCAGTAAGAGTCTAACAGTCCCTTTCGTCCTCCCCAGGCGAGGGGGCTCCATGAGGATTTCCTACCTTGAGGTTAAAAAAAAGGTTGTTAATATATAACGTGGTCTATAATACATATTAACTGTTATTGCTCATGTGTCCTTACTGCACATTATATTTATTTGTTTCTTAGCTGTTGCGCGCGTAGAATATGACTTTTAGAATATAATTTTTTATTGTTTCAATTTTCCAAATTAAAAGTAGCCTATGTTAGCCTGCTACCTGCCAATAAAAGTCATGCAAAATCGGTCCAGCCATTCCAAAGATTAGCGAGTACACACAGACAGACAGACAGACAATTGTAAAAAAATATTTTGATATGTCTATCGTATGTCATATGCATGTAGTAAATGCGATTAATTTAATATTACAAACAGACACTCCAATTTTATTTATCTCTATAGATTTTATACTTTTTTACACACATGGCGTAAAGGTGCACATTACAGCACTAAATGCCACTGTACAATGTAACACCCACTTTTCACTATTTATGCTATGAAACTAGCAATTAGTAGTTTTGTCCCCAGGTCAATAGGTTCAAAATGCAGTTGGCATTGAACTTATCTTAACAAACTGTCTCATTTACAATAGTGCAGTAAATACTTGTTAAATGTCAGTAGGCACGGCCTCATCATATTTTACAGATTTGCTGATTCGAGGTTGTCTACAAATCCTTGACTGCAATAACCCTATTGTATTATCCTTAAAGTCCAATTTTGATTAAATATACTATGTGTATTATTTTGAAATAATAGGTGTGGTATATAAAAACATCGTGAGAAAAGGTTAGAACTCACAATGAGTACGTAATTAGTTGGTTTATCGATTTTATTGTAAGTTCATCATAAATTGTATTTATGGATATACAAGAAGTATTACTAGTTTGAAAACGATTCATAAGTTGGCGCGGTGACTGGGCATCTGGCTGTCGAGCAACATGGAATGGGATCGATTCCCGCACGGAGCCCTTTCTGTGATCCACAAAATTTTGTTTTGGGTCTGGGTGTCATGTATATGTGAAATTGAATGTAAATGTAATACACACCCACGGTACAGGAGAAAATTCTAGTGGGGCAAAGTATATATTAAATAAAAAACTATAAAGAGTATTTACTTAACATTTGTCTTCTCCATTTCCAGAGGATCTTCCTGAAGCGGTGGCGACAAGCTGCTCTAAATGTACGGATGCCCAGAAGCATATCTTCCACAGGTTCCTTCTTGGACTGAAACAAAAGCTGCCTGCTGACTACGAAGCCTTCAAGAAGAAGTTTGACCCTGAAGGTCTACACTTCCATACTCTTGAGGCCAATGTTGCCAACTCTTAAAGACCTTTGAGAATGCACAGGCTAAACAACTCTTATTACATCATTATAACCTAGATTAATTTTAATAAACGGCTAACTGCCAATTTCAGTAACTCAACTCGAACGAAAATCTGTGAAATACATTTAATGTCAAAAATCGATATAGTAGATAGGCTATTTAAATCGGCAGTTACTCACGTAACTATTCGAGTAGCGTGCGAGTCCCGGTGTTACTTGAAACTTGTAGAGCGTTTCTCGAATGTCTCATAGGAGTAAACCGTATTTTAAAATTAATTTAGTATGTCTCTTGGTACTTATTATACGTCATTAATGTTCCCATTTTACTCAATTCACTGAATGACTAAGGAACATGGTTCTACAGTTAAGAGAAGTTGTATAGCCTGTGTAGTACTTAATATTGACTTAAGCTTAATTCTTTTAAACCCGACCTTGTAATTACAGTAGTCTATCTTTGTCAAAAAATAAGCATTTATTCTAAGCAAGGATAATGTTTTTGTCGAGTCTTCATAGAATAAGAATGAATTGTATTTTATTTTAGTTTATCATTTACATTGAAGGATAATGACAAAAAGCGAAAGATTTTATGATAAGATGCAGCTTGTTTTTCAATAAAATTCCGTATAATAAAAGTTTTTTGTTTGTTTTAACAAAATGACATACATAATTAGTATTTCGTATTGCCTACTTAAAATTTTACACAAACGTTTATTATCATAATTATTTCCTTCATTTATTTTTACGCTTGACTTATATATTTTTAAATATTTGATTATAAAAAAGTAACAGGAGAAATCCAAGCTACTAGTGGTCAGGGCTCCAGAGAGAAGAATTTCAGTCCAGAAGTACTGCTTTTTGCATCAGGCCCTTGATTAAACCAACCATCTAACGCTAGCCTACTCAGATGTTAGTCGAGGCTTTTAGCAATGCGGTCATTGGCCGTTATCCGACTATTGGCACAATGACTGCTGAATCCACATCCCACATGTCGACAATCTCATAAGCTAAATCAAGATATATAATATTATCATCATTATTATTTTGATTATCATAGTTTCTGACAACATAAAATACACACAATTCGTAAATCATTCTATAAAAATTACAGTTAAACCTATACCGATCTGGCTAATATTGCATGGTGAATTATGGAAACACGTTATCAAAACAAACACACACGCAGATAAAAGTTGAAAGACACCTTTATTAGTGTTTGCAAACATCATGGCGCCTTTAATTGTTTTATTTGAAAATTTGATGGTTAGAATTCTTCGAAAACAAATTACCTATCATATTATAATGACTGTAACAAAAAATCTTCTAGTACCTATAAATGTTAGGACTAAAAAGTGGATATTACTTATGTCTAAAGTTCTGCAACAGCGTAGATCATCCGATCGTAATATTACTTGGGTATTTCCATCTTAAAATTTCAATGATTCAGTTTAAAGTTAATTTATTTACTTTATTCTTATTTATAGAATGACGAAGAGTGCATTAAGACTTCATATCATTATTTATCTTGTATAATTAGTTATCTAGAATTAGAATTTAAATAGGAGGTAGAGTTAATGACTTGGTGCAACATCAATCTTATTCCGAAGAACATTTAATTATTACTGAGGGTCATACATTGTTCATAATATTATAAAGTTTAATCACAAAGGCAACTGTATTCCATCGAATAGTACCAACAACTTGCGTAAACCTCATACAAAATAAGTAATTATTACCGCACATTCATAATTATAAACATAGTTCCGAATATTTAATAAAGCACTCAACTTTTTGTGATTATCATCCTTCCTTATAAATATTATGTTTTGTTGAAGGTCAGGCGTTGAGAGGGTTTTAAATACAAGCATTTGTGATGTGCCCGTCATTTGATTCAGACATTAGATCAATTTCGTAATCAATTCAGAGCTTTTGAATTGCAGTAATGAACGGTGCAAGTAAATGCAACTTGTTAATTTTTATGTTTTTATTTATTGCAACTGTTGTTTCGCAAGAGAAGTTCTATGATAGAAGATACGATTATTACGAAATAGACACTTTGATACAGAATCCTAGATTACTGAAGAAGTATTTGGATTGTTTTCTTTGGAAAGGACCCTGTACACCTATAGGAAGAGTATTCAGACGTAAGTACCACTTAAAGTTTATTGCTTACATAATTTTCTACCTTATGTAAATAGGAATTGTGCAATTTTATGCTTGAACAGTAAAATATTACATCCTATTACGTGTATTCATATTGCGCCCTATATGTATGTTATTAAGGGTTATTACATGCGTCTAAGTAAATGGTTGTCAGTATTGAATTACTTAACTTTCTTTAATTAATTGTTGTATAGTTATTCAATTGCCTTTAATTTTATATTATGAAATAAAAATCACAATACTACTCAATTTTAAGATGAAACTATACTTAAGCGCGATTTAAATTTGAGTAGCGTTTCATTATTCGGGTGACTTATTAACTGATGTGTCTTTATCTAATTCACTTTAGTAAAGTATTAAATGAAGCCTTAAAAGTTATATAGTTACTATTTTGTTCTAAGCTTGACAATACCAAGTAGTAATGCTTTAAACTTAAGCTGGAACAATTATTAAAAGAAATCGAAAAACATTAATGTAATGTATTTTAAACCGACTTCAAAAAAAGAAGGTTCGCAGTTTGACATGTATGTATGTATGTATGTTTGTGCGAGATTATTTCGCGACTGGTTGAACTGATTTTGATGTGGTTATCGAAATATTATATACTAGCGCCGAGGTTTTGCACGGGTGCAATATGCATGTATTTATATGTAAAAACCTTACTTAAGAATGACTCTATCTATTTAAAAAACCGCATCAAAATCCGTTGCGTAGTTTTAAAGATCTAAGCATACATAGGGACAAACAGACGGCGGATAGCGACTTTGTTTTATACTATGTAGTGATTATATAAAACTGTTTGTTACACATAGGAGAAGGTTCTAGTATATTATATTAATTACCCGCCTGTAAAAATGAGGGGATTGATGTCGGTTTTTTATATGCAGTTTATAATTTTCTTATCGTGAGTCATCCTTTCTTCTCGTGTTCTTGAAAACTTACAATAACTTTATCACTTAATAAGTGACAATAAAGTCTCCCAAGTCAACATGTTTGGAAACTGTTTAGAGGTTGCAACTTTATGACTGTGTTACGTCGTAGCTTTCATATGAAGGTACTTTGCAAATATTGTATTTGTCACCTTTTGCTATTAGGTACATAACTCGTACATAATATTATCTCCCAAAGGAATATGTATATACATATATAACCCCACGAGAGTAGGTAGAGACTATGGAATGCCAATCGCTACGATTAATACACACCTCTTTCGCTTCATCAACAGTCATTAATCTTTTCATGCATGCTCGTCGGTCAAGAGTACTTTTAATTTGGCCCTTCTTTAGTATATCGCCAATCTGGTCGATATAATGTTTGTCTAGGGCGCCCTCGACCGATGGCCGCATTTATATCCCATGTATACAAAGGAAAGAAGAAAGAAAGAAAAACCATTTATTTTTGCGCAGAACACACATAACATGTGTGCTTGTAAATGCAGCTGTTATTGGTACCTACACTAGGTAGTCTGTAGTCGTAAACTGAACACAAATATAGACTCTCTGCTGTTATAGAGAGCCTGAAAATATTCAAGACAAGAATGTCTAGAGGGGAGAACCCCTAATACACAGCTACGTAATGTAATTATACTAAAGTGGTTTGTTGTTGGGTTTTGGAACGCTATGTTCTTCACTTTAACTAAACAAGTTTAATACATAACATCACGCCTGTTATCCCCGAAGGGGTAGGTAGAGGTCCACATTATGCCACTGCACAATGTAACACCCACTTTTCACTATTTATGTTATGAGTCCCATGTAATAGGGGGTGAGCCTATTGCCATATACCGGGCACAATTCCAGACTCCGTGCTACTACTGAGAATGTTTAAAAAACCCAGTAATACTTTGCCCGACCCGGTAATCGAACCCGAGACCCCTTGCCCGGCAGTCGTACTTGCGACCTCTCGGCCAACGAAGCAGTCTTTACAACAAGTTTAATATATTCTGAAATTATGTTTTTATAATAACTATTGTGAGATATACTGAGAAAAGCTCTACTAGTTTCGAGTCACAGAGGGTGCTCATGAGTCGCTGAGACTCGAAACTAGTAGAGTTTTTCTCAGTATATTTACGTGAGTAACTCGTAATTTATTAGTTAAACTATTAAAATATTTAACTTCCAGTCATAAAACCAACAACAAAATAAACAGGACACGTTTTAATTATTAACAAAGTACATAATTATTTGTAACGCAAATGAAGTTACTCAAAAACTTACCCAAGTACATAGTATACACATGTACGTACATAATTATGTTCAAAGCATAATATTATTATTGTAACCAAAGAAATAAATGGGAAAACCCAATTCTATTACTGTTTACTTTGATGTACTTAACTGCTTGTGAAGTATTGGGTTAAACCACAAAAGTTCGCCGGTTAAGTACATTCAATCAATATTTAACTTGATGTTGGTAGCTAAACTTTTTTGTTTATTTACTCAAGTGATGTATGAAGCTTCTGGAATAGGTAAATGTGAACTGTCTGAATGTTTCATCACTCATTTTTGTAATGTGTTATGTTATAACTAGTCAATGTGGAACTGTCCTTTATAAGTAAACGTAAATAGACATGTGTTGTAATTATAAATCAACTTTTTGATAGTTTCATAAACTTCTAACAGAAGCCATTATATTAATTTATTAATATTATATTTATTAAGCCGAATTTGTCATTTAAAGGTTCGTAAAACAACCTGGTCTAATGAACCTGGACAAAGTTATTAAGCCTTAAATCTGTATTCTATTTAGAGGTAGATATTGAGTGCAACTCTGTACATAGGGGGCACAAACTTTAATAAACATTTTCATACTTAAGAAGAGAATCATTCGGTCTTTCGATATAAACCAACCTAATACAGGCTCCAGGGCCGGTTTCAGTGCAACCGGCCAATCAGAGGCCTTATTACGATTTTGATTCACGTTTAAAGTATTCGAAAC